AATCGGTTGCATTTCTGACGTAGAGCTATGATACACTGTTCGTATTGTAAACATGTATTATGTCTAATAAATGCATTTCTTACCTCTTACAGTCCCTTTTCCTTTCACTCGACGGTAGAACGTGTTCATCCGAATAATTGGGACCGGATACTTCGGAACCGATTGTTCGAAAATGAAAAAGATCGATTCATGCAGCATATGAAACCCGGGCACTATACGAATATTGAAAAACATCACCACGGAAATGCGAAGAAAAACAAAATAGGTGCAAAATTCCCAAATTTTTTCTTTTTTTGTGGGGGGAATAAAGGGCCTGTACCATTTACCTTTTTTTTCCCGAAAAAACTCTGATTTCCGGCGTAGTAGTCGAGTAGGACAGCACTCTGATTGTTGTTCGTACCACTCCATGCTTTCCCCTAATTCAGGAAAGGGTTAAATTTGGGGGCCCAAATTGCTATTTTTCGTTGTTGTTGTCCTCGTCTTCAATCGTTTCATCGTCGACAGGGTCGAATTCTTCTTCCACGGAAGTCACAACCCTCGTCATCTTTGCTTTTTGAAATCCACAGTCTTCTGCACCCATACCACCCAAGGTGTTTCAACATCTTCATCGCATTCTTGAAATCCTGAGATTGATTGAACAAAGTCGGTATTCTCCTCCCCGTGGTCGTCATTGAAGTCTTTTTCGCCTTCTAAATCTGACCACATCTTATTTCATGCGTTTTTATATACAGTACATGTAGTTAAGAAAACTGGTCCGGATATTTGACACTTCGGATAATAAACGTTCGGATAAATGACATTCTACTGTACTCCCACTAAATGTGGTTTGCACCCTCATATTCTATGTTGATTTGTCGTCCCTATGCTGCCTACTGTCACCCCTCTGAATTTGTCGGTCTAGTTGGCAACACCCTGTATTTTTAAAACTAATTGTAGAATTTTTTTGATGAAACTTATTATTTAATGCAACAGAATAAAAACAAAAAACAGATTTCATTTAACATAAATCTGATAATTGAAGTTTCAAAATTTAGTGTATGTTATTTTTTCATCTTTTTTATCCCGATTTGTGTGAGAAAATATATTGTATTAATTAACCGAAAAAAATCAATATTTATTTCTTTTTTAATTTATAAAAGCATTTAAAAGTTACTTTAATAAAAAACGGAAAATTTTTTTTTTTATGAATGACAGCTGAAAAATAATTTTATTCCTTCAATTACATTACTAAGCCTTTTAATTTATTCACTAAGTAAGTCATTAAGAAAAGCCCAAAAATGCTTTGGCTCGATTTATAGTAACGGGCCAATTTGGTGGAGAAAAAAATAGAGCTTTATGATATTCAATTTATATTGAGTAGGTAGCATTCACAAGCATACGTAATGGAATTTCAAAAACGGCGATGGTGCTAAATGATTGTACGATAGAAGAGCAGTGTGCTGTAGTCAGATTTTTGTGGGTGAAAGGACTTGAACAATAAAATATTCATAAAGAAATTTTACCTGTTTATGGAGGGAAGTGTTTATCAAGTTAAGCAGTGTACAGTTGGGTGAAGAAATTTTCGACCGTCCAGTTTTGATTGCAACAAAATCAACTGAGCAACACGTGGAAGAATTGATTCGATAGAAGAGTGACAATTGACAGCATCGCATCGGCAATAGGAATGCCAGCTTTTTCTCCCAAACTGTGGGGCGCCCCCCCCGGAGGGGCGTGATAACTCTAAAAAGGGGGGCGCGGCTTTTGAAAATTTAAAAACCATTATTAAAAACTTTACTAATTTCGGGAAAGTAAAAAAACAAAAAATATTTTCTGACATAAAAAAAATATAAAATACAAAATTTACCCCTGATATTACACTTAAAAAAGATTTCTGTATTTTGTACAATGTATTTTATTTTTAACAATACAAAATTTAAGAACAAGTTTGATAATTACCAGTGACCCATGGACTTGTATTAACACTAATCTTGGGGTTTTTGGGGAAAGGGGTTGTAAAATTTAAATTTCCCTTGACGCCGTTTAAAAAGGGGTTAGGGTGGGTTTTGGCCCCCAATCCCAGGGTTTTCCCCAAATAGACGTGCGTTTTTTTGATTTTTTTTTTGGGGGAAAAGGGGAAAAATAAAAAAATCCTCTAAAAAAAAATTCCTTTTTTAAAGCCCTTAAGGCCCCTTTTTTTGCATTAAAAACCTTAGGAATAATTTTTTGGATAGCGGTGCAAAAGAAAGATCGTAATTCGAAAAGACGTATATACGCCCAAAATTAATCTTTGGCTGAGCAGAGACGTTTAAACGTCGGTGGCACATAAGAGGTTAAAATCTTACTGTAGCTTTATAAAAAAGGAAAGTATTGAATTTTTTCAATACAATGTTTTTTTAAGAAGGGGGGGAAAAAATGATGACTGAATTTTTGGGTCGCAAAGTATTAAAAAATTTTTGAAAGCACTGGGATATCTGTTTTTTTTTCACTTTATACATAATTCTGTTTAAGTCTCCCAGTATGACATTATCTGATAACTTAAAAAAATTTAAATTTGTTTTCATTTCTGTATATAATTATTGATCTTGTTTTATGTATAAATATATATGCTATTTTTCCCCTGCCAAATTTTTTTCAATAAAAGCAGTATTTGTTGATTTTTCCTTTTACATCTTCGTGTTAATTTTTGGGAAGTGGTGTTTTTTTTATTAATCGGGGAATCTTAATTTGTATGCCTATCTCAAATATAATTCTGACCTCAATCCCCCTTCCAAAAAGGTACTTTTACCGGGCCCCCTCCCCTATCGACCTTTTTTTCATGTTAACATCCCCTTTGGGATTAACACCAACAAACCTAAACGAAAAAAAAAAATTAGCATAATAAAAATTCAAAAAATAACTTTTTTTAAAAGGGGGAAAATTAAAAACTTGAAAATTTTTTAAATAAATTTTCCCAAATTTACTTTTTAATTAAAATTTTAAACTTAAAAATTGGAAAATAATAACCTTTTTTTTCTTAAAAGGGGAAACAACCCCATCTACAAAAAGAATTAATACTTAACGCATTCTTGTGTTGATATATTATGATAAATTTTATTTTTTAAATCAAAATATATTATCAGACTTTTAAGGGAAAATAAATAAATAAAGCTATATAATTGCATTTAAAACAGACCCTTTAATGCTTTAAAAACTACATCACATATCAGTAAAGGAAATTATTTTCATTTATTTTTAATTCACTAGTTAGAAAAACTTTTAAGACTAATGCATGCTCACTTGTTTCTAACGCATATTTCACCTTTTCTAGGATGACACATTTCCACATTCTCTACAGATACAGCTTCTCGAAAATTCGAAGTTAATTTCTGCACCATTAACTTTTTAAAAGTCTTGGGTTTTGATGCCATTCTGAAAAACTGAAATTTTATTTTGGTAGTAAATATAGGACATGAATGTTTATTTGCTTGATTTTCGTATTTATATGTTCACTAAAACTATGGGAAGAAACTTGGAGGAAAAGCACAATATTATTCATTTATGGAATATAATTAATAAAAATGTATCCAAAATAAGTATTTTCTCTTTAATTTTGTTTATTATTTTATAAACAAAATTAATGAAACTACTACTACGTTTAGTGAATTGATGCACACGTGAAAAATAATAGATTATAGTCAGCTCATTCTAATTGGGTAACTTGCTGCAAAATTAATTAAAATATTTAAAACTCGATATAATTAATTAAAAATAAATAATATAATGCGATTTTTTAAATAAACCAATTTTTTACCGCGGGAGGGCCCCTTGGGGCTTTTAATAAACTCGGAAAAACACCGTATCTTTGTGGAAAAAAAGATCCAAAAAAAAAGGGTTTTGGGGTTTGGAAAAAAAAAAAATCGGGTCCCCGGGGGAAAAAAAAACACCTTTACTTGGGGGGCCCCCTGGTTTTTGAGTTGTCCTGAATGAGTTTGGGCAACCCAAAGAGTTAAATTAATGAGTATGATCTGACTATCTATACCGGGGTTTTCCCCCTTTGGGCCCCCCAGTACAAATTGCTGCCCCCCCGAATCTTTTTTAAAAAAAGGGGTCAGAGCCGGCTCTAGTAATTTTGCCGCCCCGGACAAAAAAGGAAAAAGCCCCCCCTCTCTCCTCCACTCCCTCCCCCTTTCTCTCTCTCTCTTATATTTTTATTTTTTAAATCTTAAAAAAAAATTTAAAAATAATTCAAAAATTAAAGGGGGAAAAAACTTTTTATTATTTCAAACGAGCGAAAAAAAAGAAAAATTTATTTAAAAAAGGCCAATTTCTTTAAAAAAAAAGTCTTTTGAATAGTGGGGATCCGGGGGTGTGTTTTAAAAATTATAGTAACACACTCAAGACTAAAAAAAAACACCTCCTGTGACTCTCTTTCCTTTAAAAACCCCAATTCCCTTGTTCCCTTTTGAATAGGTAAAACCGGACATCTAAAGGGGGAGAAAGAAATCATCTTGTGACCTCACTCCGGGATGGGGAGAAAGCTACTAGTGGGGAAAATGCGTAAAACGTATTAAATGTCTCTTTTATATACACTCCCACCTCCCAAACCCTTAAGGGGTTTTAACATCAAAAAAAAAAAGTCATTAAATATACAAGGGACAAAATTTTAAAAAAAAAGATACGTTAAATGAAATATCAAATTCACACCCAATAATATTTCAAAAAAAATATCAAATTTCTTGTAACAAAAAAATATTTTTCAAATTTGATCCAAATGCCGCCCCTACAATTTGCCTTCCCGGGCAGGGGTCCGGTTTGTCCGGCCCTAGGGCTGCTCCTGGTGTGTGTGTACTGTACCCATTATGTGTGTGTGTACTGTACCCTGGTGTGTGTGTACTGTACCCATTTTCAGGGAAGTGAAGTGAAGTAATTTTTTTGAGAATATGAAGGTGGCAATGATCTGTCCCGATCTGTATATTTCTAGATAAAGCACATTTTCGTATCCGTTCCTACGGAACACAAAGCAAAGGTTCGCTAACGCAGGTGTATAGCTCAGTAGTAGAGCATTCGGCTGCAGATCGAGAGGTCTCCGGATCAAATTCGGATGTCCCATTCTTCAAAGAAGTGAAGAGAAATATTTTTCTGAGAATTTCGAAGGCGGGAATGATTTGTCCCGTTCTGTATATTTCTAGACCAAGGATTTTCGCATCCGTGACGGTGTGTGTCACATTCGTGACAGTTTTGCGTCACATCCGTGATGGTGTGCGCGCGCATTGTAAAAGTTTACCCTCATCATATTTTTCTAATGCCCCCAAAAAAATATAACTTCAAAAATTTTTAAATATTCGGGTTTTTTAAACTTTTTTTTCACTTTGAAATTTATCTGAGGGAAAACTTTTATATATATATATATATATATATATATATATAGTAATATATATAAAATAAAAGTGAAGAAGTACTAAATATATATATATATATATATACAGAGGTATATATATATATACCTGTTCTTTTTGATAATAGAAATGTCCTTTAGATTAAAATAGATTTATATTTTATCAAACAGTTACACATGATTTTACTATAATAAAATGATTTTTTAATAAAATCCGAAATATCCTTTACTATGGATGGTACATGATTCTCAGAGTGTGAGATTTTCATTTCTCCTCTTCTGTTTGTAGTGCCCAAAAAGCAAGAGGCAGTCAGAGATGTTTTTTAAAGTTTACAAAAAAATTATTCAGGACGGTTAATGTAAAGAGCAATGTATATTTAATCGCTTGCGAAGGACAGCACAATCAAATTTCAACAATAAGTAACGAAAGATCAATTGAAAAGGAACACCGTACTTTTCAAGAAAATGGCAACTGTAATATTTTGAACATTATTTGATCATTGCATTATTATATTATATAAACATTATTATATTATCTATGTCTGTACACATAAAAAATAATGAAAACAATAATAATAATTCATTCTGTTTTAAATTTTCACTCAAATAAATGTTTTTTGGTTTTCAAATCTGATATAAAGGTACATATTTTTATGTGCAACCCGCGGGATTATAATGTTTTTCCCAAGTGGCCCGCAAGGTCATTTGGGTTGGACACCCCTGATCTATACTATGCACGAACAATTTAATTTGAAGGATAATCTTAAACAGAATTTAAGACCTGACTTTTATATAGAACTGATGATAGGATGGATGATTGAGATCTGATAATGGAATTTTAAGACTTGACTGAAGCCTGAAAAAATAGTCACAATATACGACCAAACCGTTCTGACTTACTATTGTTTATTAATACTGTTACGACTGTTGATACTGTAATAATAGAACAGTAATTAGATATCTGACATTTACCTTATTTTATTTTATAAAAAAAAAACTATTTCTTAGTTAAGATTCTAAATCATAAGACATTCTGCCGAATCCGTTTGTTAAAGGATGAAAGCCCCCATTCTCGTCTGATCGCCGAAGCTAGTCCCTTAACTACCAAATAAAAGTTATGCGATTCGCTCCCCAGTTCCGCCGTTTTTCATGTAGGCCCACGTATGTGGTGTATTGGAGGGAAAACAAAAGGCATAAAAAAGCAAATTTTTCTCTGAAATAAGCAAATCCTTCGCGAACACTGTCGTGGCCGCAATAGCCTAGTGGTCAAGGTAACGGACTTAGGGCTGGCGTGTCATGAGTTCGAGCCTAGTACCGCTGAAGATCTGCCGTGTAGGGATGCGATGCACGGTAAATCTGTCGAGGCTCAAACATCCTCCCGTTGGTGTGGTGGGGAAGTTAAGAGAGGGTTCCAACTCAGGTGTCGTCCTCGTCACTTGACCATGGCTTAAAATTACGAGATCCGTCGCCAAAATCCATCTAGTAAATGAATAGTGCGACGTTAATATTCACTTACTCACTGTTGCAAACACTATCAAGGTCTTTTTATTGCAGTCCAAAGGCTTCGGAATAGTTTTGCTGATAGTAGCGTAAAAAAAACGGATCGTATTTAGGGGAAGGACGTATATATACCTCAGAGGAATGTAATGCATCAGTTGAGTGGAATGTATATATACGCCGGTGGCATTTAAGGGATTAAGCATTATCAAGTGTGGTCAGTACTTGGGAGTGACCACCTTGGAGCACCACGATTCTCATTTGTATGAAAATAATCAGAATTGTGTAGGAAAATTTGTGCTCTCTCATGTTGCTGTTGTTTATCAGTGGAACAACATTTAATAGAACATTTTGTGATATGGTTGCTCTATGGTGACCATATCTTTGATTGTCAGCCTGAATTAGAGGTGTGGGATTCTCAAAAAGATCAGACATTTTAAAATTTTTAATATGACTTTTTATTAAGAATATAACTTAAATCTCTAATAATTTAGATAAATTTTAATAAGTGAGAATCTAATAAACCACAAGCACACAGCAATAGTTAAACCTGATCGCGTAACTTAGACTACTTATCTAAATAATTATATTATCCTCCTACTTTCAATTCTGATAATATTACAAGTCCTAATATCAAATAATCAGTCCTACCTTAATTCAAGCTAAGGTTCTATCACGGTACGAAACACCTGGGCGCGCGTGCAATGGTATGCACCTTGTAGTAATGGCTCGATATCTTGGTAACTTTACGATAGGCCGTCAATTCACTCGTATCTCTTCCAAACATAACTTTCCCTAAATTGCCATACTGCTTACTGAAACTTCTGTTCTTTTAAAAGCTATCTTATTTGCATTTCCTAATCGTATTTCACTTCTTGGATTTGGGTTGGAAAAGATTTGCCATTAATCTTGGCCGTCAAAGAACCCAAAGGTTATGTTACAGAAAATACGCGTGAGCCCGTCACAATTTGACTTCCAGTTCAAAAAGATGGCCAGTAACCTCTAATTGGATTTGTACTGGAGCAAATTAAAGGTGCTGAGGAAAACGTTTTCAATCATTGATGAAATGACGATAGCTTGTTTTTATCCAATATTGACAGTGATTGAATCAAGAGATCTCATCAAAAGTTGTAAATTTTAAAAAAAGTTCACCTCAAATGAATTTCAAAACGAAAGAACTTTGGAATGAAACATAAAAAAATGTAAAGGCTATTTTTCTATTAGCTTGATTCGCACTAAAAATGTGAATCAAGCTAAGAGAAATAGCATTTAGGCTAAAAAAATTGTGTTTTATATTTCCAAACATAAATTTAAATATTGTACAACTTATTCAAATAATCTTATCTAAATCGAAGAATCTCAAGTCTATGCCTGTCTAACACAGTCGCATAAATTTCTAACTTAAAATTTTTAACTATAAATGCCCTTTAATGAATTTATTTTAAAGCAGTAGAAAAATGTTATGAACTTTTTTCCTTGAAAAATGTAGTATACTCTTCATTCTATATTAAAGTATAAAATACAGATCAAAGTAATAAATTCACAAAATTGTGATATTTGTAACAACAAGTAATATATAAAAAAAAATTTAAGTCACTTCCTACTTAGATCAACAAAGAAAAATTTTATTTTAGCAACTTTTTATTAATAGTTACAATTAATATAAATATGTATATACATATGACAGAATCACAACATTAAGTGGTAATTCATTTTTATTCATTATCATTAAAGTATTGTATTTTCATCCCAAACAATCGTGTATACGAAATTTAAGTTCACCTGAATGCTTTAAAACGTGAGAAAAAAAAATCTTTTAAAGTTTTAACCCAAATCACGCGTGCTAAAAATGAAACCAACGTGGCAGTATCTGTAATTCTTTAAATATTTAGTTTCAGTCAATTAATTATAATTAATTATAATTAAATTATCGTATTTTTACCCAAAACAATAGTGTATAGAAAATTGCAGCTAAAACGAGCGCTTTAAAATGTGAAAAAAAACCTTTTGTAAGTTTTGACACAAGTTGCCAAAATGATCGCTAAATCACCAAAAATGATGCCAACGTGGTTGTATTTGTAATTCTTCGAATAAGTAGTTTTAATCAATTAGTTTATTATAATTAAATTGCTATATTCTCATCCAAAATAATCATGTCTATAAAATTTCAGCTCAATGGAGCGTTTTAAAATGTATTCTACTAACGATTGAAAATTCCACGAAGATAAATAACTATAGAGAGAGAGTGTGTGAGCTAATAGTAGGAATTAGAAAATGAATCGCATCCAATAATAACTCATAATTTTCCCACAAAACAATTATAAGATTACAAGATACTTCATATTCTAACAAATGGGACGTATTCGTCTATTCTAATATTATATAACATTAGAAAATAATAAAATACTGTGAGTTATTTCCCATTTAAAATCAGTGTCTTATTTGGCAAACTACAAGTTTTTACACTAGATATAAAAAAAGATACTAATAATCTTATATGTTATTAAATTTTAACTTCATTAATGATATTCTCTCTCTCTCTCATGACTCAATATTAACTGTAAAAATACCCACTATTACGCGCGTTATATACTTTAATGTATTTCACAATTCATTTTATATAGTTGCTTAAGAAGAGAAAAAAAGATTATATACTTACTTAAATCAATCTTTTGAAAACAAAATACAGAAACTATTGATATTCCGCAAACAACTTATTTTTCAAAACGTTCACTCCTTCTTCGGCTACATGGCTGATAAGAGAAGCTGGTTTTCATTAACAAAAAAAAAGTATCAATAATATCAGATATCGCGAGTCTTTTTATACTTCTTATTTCAACGTAGAGATAAAATCGATGTTTCCTATCTTCAATTTCCCTCTGTCATTTGAAGAAGTAAGAACCAGTTTAAAATTAATCTGTTGCTTCATAATTTCGTAAGTAGAATCAGAAATATATTCCATGATATAAATAAATAATATGTGAAATGTGCAACTGGACAGAAATAAAAAGCTCTTCAAAATATGATCTGTGCGATATGTTTGATAATACACTCACATGAAGAAACGAAATTTTTATCTCGTATACAGATAACCATTTTTTTACTTTTAAAACGGATTCCTTGATTTTTACTTTTTTTATTAATTGATTCTATCAATTTGATTCTCTAGATGAGTATAAATAAATAAAAAGCATGTTTCAACGATTCTTAATCTATT